GACCAGAAATGCACGAACAGAGTGGCCAGGGCAAAAAGCAAGCGTTTATTGTCCGGCTTGGGTTTTTATAAGAACGAAAGGTAAGGGAAGGGGAAGAGGGAGATAAGATAGAAGGCGCGCGCAGCGTAGACTGGCAGCACTTGTTTAGCGGTGGCCAACAGTTCGTGGCATTCCTTCTTCCTTAGAATCCATAACGCTCTACTGGCTTCTTGATACGTGTGGAACGTCTTAGCTCTGGGGGCGGGTGGCCCGAAAGACCGGGGCCAGTAGCCGTTGGAGCTTCGCAGTCTTGTATTGGAGGGTCCGGGCTTATCTGGGGGCTAGTGAGAGCCTCTGGACTCGACGGTTCTTCGATGCTTCTCTGCCTGAGCTGGTCCATGTGCCGGTGAAAACGCCCGTTCTCCGTGTCGACAGACACGATGCGTGCACCAGAGGTTGACCGTACCTTCCCAGGTGTCCACTTGTCACCACGACCGTAATTGCGAAGGTACACAGGATCTCTCGGTGCGAAGTTCCACCCGGCGCTGTCAGCAGAGTGGACATCCCCTGTTGCTCGGCTCCTGGGAGGAAAACACATGTCTAATCGGGTGCGGAGCTGGTAACCCAACAACATTTCTGGTGGTGAGCGCCCGGACGGAAGCGGCATGTTTTTATAGCGGCACAGTGTTCTAGCCAGCGTCTTTGACAAGTCTGCGTCCCCACACTTCTTTAGTCCGTCTTTGATGGTTCGCACCGCACGTTCGGCGAGTCCATTACTCTGTGGATGGTAGGGAGGTGCCCGCACGTGAACTACCCCGTTCTGTTGCAAGAACTCGTTGAACTCCCATCCGGTGAATGGCTTGCCATTATCAGACACTACTGTGTGTGGCAGAAAATTTTGACCGTGCAACTGCCTTCATTGCAGAAACTCCTTGATGAGCTCCATGTAATAACTTCAGTAGCTTCTTCCTGGCTTCCGCCGGAACCACAACACGATGACCCCAGTGAAGCAAGTTATGCTGCACGGACAGCTCGTTCCGCCTTTTGTGATACTCCCGCATCTCTGTGCCTTCCTCCACAGTGCGTTGTGGCCAACCTTGGATGACGTACCTACACACACTTGACAGTACACCGTCTGACTGCGTGAGGGCTTTAAGCTCTTTCATGGGCACCGCCGGCTCGTCCCACTGGTCCACGACGAGGACGTACTCGGCCGCATCCTCGTCGTCCTGCAGCTCCTGTTCAAGAGATTGGGGTAACCGGCTTAATGCATCCGCGTTGAGCATAAATTTTCCCGGCTTGTACTGCAGTTTATACTTGTATGCACCAAGTACTAGCGCCCATCTTTGTATTCTGGCTGCCGCCATGACGGGGGTCTGACGGTCGTGCCTTAACAGGCCCAGCAACGGCTGGTGATCCGTAACCAGAGTGAACTCTCGCCCCAACAGGTAGTCCCTAAACCTAGTAACACCAAATATCTAGGCTAACGCCTCGTGCTCGATCTGAGAGTACTTTCTTTCGGCAGTTGTCAGCGTTCTCGATCGAAAGCCTACGGGTCGCTTCTCGCCTTCGGTGTGATGAAAAAGTGCAGCACCAACTCCGTATGGGGACGCATCACACTCCAAGAAGAGCTCACGGTTCGGGTCAAAATGAGTGAGTATGGGTGCCGTGCACAACGCATTTTTCACCTGGACAAAGGCTTTCTTTTCTTTGGTGCTCCACGTCCACTTAGCGCCCTTTTTCAGCAGTTTGTACAACGGTGCTAGAATGGTAGACAAGTCGGGCATAAACTTGTTATAAAAGGTTACCATGCCCAGAAATGAGCGTAGTTCACAGACGTTCTGTGGAGAGGGGGCTAGCCTGATAGAATCCACGTTCTTTTCCATGGGATGCAGTCCGTTCGCGTCAATACGGTGACCTAGATATGTAACAGAGGGCTCACTAACGCGGCACTTATCAGCACGAAGCTTAATGCCATGTTCACGGAAGCGCTCGAGCACAGCCATCAGATTGCGGTTTTGGCTGTCACCCTCTTCCGCTATCAACACGTCATCTAGGTACGCTTGCACCCCAGGCAAGCCCTGTAGGATTGATTCAATCCGCCTTTGAAATATCGCCGGTGCCGAAGCAATCCCAAACGGGAGGCGGTTAAAGCAAAAGAGGCCCTTGTGGGTGTTTATCACGGCCAATTTGCGAGACTCTTCGTATAGCGGGATCTGGTTGTAGGCGTCGCGCAAATCCAAAATGCTGAATTGCTCCCCCCCACCTAATTGCGCAAAAATATCCTCGATAAGAGGCAGCGGGTATTGTTCCAGCTCGCATACTAAGTTCAAAGTAATCTTGAAGTCACCGCAAATGCGAACTGTGCCGTCTTTCTTTAAGACTGGAACAATGGGGGTAGCCCATTCCGAGTGCGTCACTGGTGATATAATGCCAGCTGCCACGAGTCGATCTAATTCCTCTGAAACTTTATCCAACAGAGCGTAGGGTACCTTTCTTGCCTTGAAGAACTTTGGCGTCACTCCAGGCTTGATGTGAAGGCGCACCGGTGGGCCTTTCATGAGTCCTACGCCCTCCGTGCACAGGTCGGAGTAGTGGTCCAACACTGCAGGCGAGGGCGGAGACTCTGGGCTCGACCCGAGTGGTGGCACAGCTACGTGGAGTACTGCTGTGCCCTGCTCTTGTAGTTTCTGCAGCAAATCACGACCGCACAGGAGAGGACCTTCGCAGTCCAAGACGATTATGTTACAATCAACCTCCGCCGATTTGTGGCATACACGTATTGACAGTACTCCGAGTACGGGTAGCTTCCCCAAATAGCACGCCAGCTTTATCTTCGGCTCCTGGAACTTCGGCCATTGATGACGGTGGGCTTTGTAGGTTGCTCTAGGAATGACGCATACGGGCGAGCCGGTGTCAACGTCCATCTTCAGCTTTACGCCGTTCCACGTGAACGTTTCCTGAATCGGTGGCACCAATGAATTCTTCGAAGTTACAAACCAAAGTTGCGACGCGCTGCTATCACTGTCGTTGGCTTAGGCTGTTACATTCAACGCGTTGTCGACGATCCTTTGGCACATGCGTGCCAAGTGCCCTTGTTTTCCACATTTGTAACAGTGCCTCCCACGCATTGAACAGGTCGCGCGCTTATGATTACGCTTTCCGCAGCACTCGCATGGCTTTCCACCTTCGTTTTTCTTCTGGCCTCGCGGCACCCAGCGTTGCTCCTTCATTGCCGACACTGTTACCGGGGGCATTTCTCGATTTATGTTCTCCGCATCTAACTCTGCACTTTCTGCCGCCAACGCAAGTGCCTCTGCTTCTTGTAACGTCAACTCAGGTTTCGCGAGCAGCTGCTTTTGCAAATTTCTTGAACGTACCCCGCGCACAATACGGTCCCTTAACATCCTATCCAGCATGGACGAGAAGTTGCAGTTATGCGCTAGGCGCCGTATTTCCACAATGAATGCGTGAACAGACTCTCCTTCCTGCTGGTTTCGGTGGACAAACTTGAAGCTTTCTGAAATTTCGTTTGGTCGTGGGTCATAATACTCGCTTAGAACTTTCACTACCGCATCGTAGCCGAGTGCGTTTGGCTTCTGCGGTGCCACTCTACCGCATAGCACATCAATCATTCGCGACCAAAGTGCGGCTACCAACAGGGCTCTTTTCCTGGCATCGTCAGTGACTTCGTTTGCTTCAAAATATGCCTCAACCTTCACGAGGTACGCTTGCCACTTATCTGTGTCGTCGTTGAATTCCGGGAGGCGATGACTCATGCCTGTCGATGGGGTGGCTGCTTGCCCGCCTTCAGGAAGCAGCTGGGTCTCGTTCTTTGTTGAAATGCTCGTCGCCACTGTTATAACCGGCCCCGCGGCTGGGCCGCGCCCCAAAATGCACGAACAGAGTGGCCAGGGCAAAAAGCAAGCGTTTATTGTCTGGCTTGGGATTTTATAAGAACGAAAGGTAAGGGAAGGGGAAGAGGGAGATAAGATAGAAGGCGCACGCAGCGTAGACTGGCAGCGCTTGTTTAGCGGTGGCCAACAGTTCGTGGCAATAGCCATGGTGTTCTGTCAAACAATTTTTTAAGCATCTAGTTAGATCTAGATCGAGTGGTATGGTACACGTTTCCTTAAAGCACACATGTTCTAGCTGTTAGTTTGTATGAAAAGAAACTTATGGCCTTCCTTCATACTGATTTTAATATAATTCACAGTCATGTCTGTGTGATGTGCACAGCTGCCCCACCTGGTACTATACATAACTCATTCTCCGCTGTTTCAAATAAACATTTTTATGGCACTTGTGTAGATTTGTGTCCACTATTTCACTTACGTTATGTACCAAGCTCTAGCTGCTATCAGCTGTACGTGACTGGCACATCACAGCAATGCGCCCTGCCACGGTGGTCTAGTGGCTAAGGTACTCGGCTGCTGACCCGCAGGGCGCGGGTTCGAATCCCGGCTGTGGCGGCTGCATTTCCGATGGAGGCGGAAATGTTGTAGGCCCGTGTGCTCAGATTTGGGTGCACGTTAAAGAACCCCAGGTGGTCGAAATTTTCGGAGCCCTCCACTACAGCGTCTCTCATAATCATATGGTGGTTTTGGGACGTTAAACCCCACAAATCAATCAATCAATCACAGCAATGCCAACGCTTCGATGAAACAGTGCCTGTTATTGGTCAAATCAAGCTACATACATGCACACATGTGCTGGGGTACGCCAGATAAGTGTGCGTGGCACTCCTCCAAGCCAATTCTCCTGCAGTGGTGTCACCGGGTGGTGAGGTTATGCGGGTCCATGAGGAACAGTGCTGTGCCTCCTTGTCCTGAAAAATTTTAGCTGGCAACTCCCAGCTTTACTTTATTATTCTCAGCTTCTTTTAGTGTCTGTGTGTTTTTTTCATTACTGTTGGAATAGCGTTCAAAGTGCTTCTTATAAAATCAGAAATCAGGAGTTACCATGAACACGAGACATAAGAGTGGTTCCATGCTCGAGAGACAGCCTCAACTTTTTTGCAGGCGTTTGCGCGAGAAGAACAGCAACAACACCAAGAAGTTCATCGAGGAACGCAAGTCAGCGGCACTGAAGCAGAGCAAGGAACGAGAGCGCCTCAAAAAGGTCCACGAGAAGCAGCTACACGACCTGCAGCGTGAGATCGACAATGTGAGTGCGCACAGCCACCCTTCTTGATTTAGTATACAGCTGTTGAGTGCGAATAACAAATGTTTATTGGGAAGTGAATTCGAATGATATGACATCAGAGAAAATTGAATGGAATAACTTTCTTTTTCTCAAATATTTTGGCAGGCTACCAACACTGGGTAGCCTGTCAAGGATAATCGCCTGCTTTATCTTGCAAAACTATCAGCCATAGTGTGACGGCATGACTTCAACAGGGCATTTCTAAAACATAACCTGGCAATCCCTGGCTTTATTAGCTTTTAATGCACGAGTGTGCCTATGAGTGTGCCTACAGTAAAATACAGGCTCTTAAGAAAATGCATACATGGTACCGTGCTTATAAGAGACATGTAATATAAAGGACAAGAATTGCAGCCCGAAGAATGTCTCTTATAAAGGAGTTTAACTGTCTATGCGAAGCTATCGTAACGGCTACGAGCACATCATGAGCGTGGAATATAGTCATGTTCTTACATGACACGCATCTCATGATTATTATTTGCACCGCTCATATACCTTCGTCGACCATTCACATCACGTAATATCAAATTTGGTATATATGAAGCTAGCGAAACAACCACAAGCGCACTATGAACGTGATATGTAGTCATGTTCTTACATGACATGCATGTCATGATTATCATGTTTGCACCAGTCATATACACGTCCCGTAATACCAAATTTGGTATATGTGAAGCTAGCAAAATGACGGGGAATGCACTATGAGCATGGCATGTAGTCATCACTTACGTGACATGCATGTCATGATTTCCACGTTAGGGTCTGTCACTTATGTTCACCATGCAGTCATGTCTTACCATACCAGTTTTGCAATATGTCATGTGAATGAAACCGCCACAAGAGCAGCAAGACCATGAATTCTAAGTCATGACATTTATGACACATGTGGCATGATTTTTAGGTCATGACTAGTCAGTTATGTTCATCGTACAGTCATGTTATGTCACACCAATTTGAGTGTCTATATCATTATCGCAGTGGTCAGGAGAGCTAAATTTCATAGGCGGCTAGATAGACAGGCAGGCAGGCAAGCAAGCAAGCGGGCGGGCGGGCAGGCGGGCGGGCAGGCAGGTAGGCAGGCAGGCAAACATGCACAAACACACACAGACAGACAGATATGCTCAAAGTTGCCGAAGTTCATTTGAAATAAAAACAAAGGAACAGTGTTGTTAAAAAAAAATTCAGCAGATCCCACGTACCTGAAAATCGACGTTATGCGAAGCACGTGAACGGAAGGTGATTGTGTTGCAATTTTTTATTATGAGAAACGTCATGAAATGACGCAAAATATATGTACAATTATTTCATGCACAAACATACGTTGAAGAGTTGCAGGTGTTTATATAACCAGTTGTTTGCCCTTGTGCAACAATGCCAACTGGAACATGGGTATTAGCAACACCAGAACCTGATATGAAGCGCTGATGCTCGCGAAGGCGCTTGCCCTGGACAATGCTACATGAATCAACTACAGCGCATGGTGTTAATTGATGCTAACACGACGTGATGGCTGCATGAAAGGAGTGCATATGTAATGTTTATAAAATTCGGTAGGCAGCACTGCAATCACTATTGACGTTTCACGAGGATTAGCGTCTATTTGAAAAGTAGTTCCGAGACCTGGCGTAGCCCTGTGGTAAAATTCTTCATTTCCCCACAGAATGCTTGAATTAGATTCCAGCTGGGACCCTGACATTTACTTTTTGCATTCGTCAAGTCGACACTACCGATGTCGGGTATTTATTTTTATTTATTTATTTATTTATTTATGACATACTGCAGGCCCCACAAGGGGCCCAAGCAGGAGGGGCATAATCGCTCAAGTATAAACAAACCGACAATACAAGGTAAATTACAGCAACTTCTAAAAAGAAAAAGAAACATACTGTCTCAATTTTCTATATGTTCAATCCCATCAATACTACAGACAACAGATATGGGCAGATCATTCCAGTCAGATATGGTGCGTGGGTAGAAGGAAAATTTGAAGACGTTTGTTCTGGCGCTGTAGGGGATCAGGGATGCAGTGTGTCGATGTCATGTTCGCCGAGAAGTCAATGGCTGAATAAACTGATCAGGGCTAATGCCGAGTTTGTTGCTCTTAAGCTGGTAAAGAAATTTAAGCCTTTCTATTTTACGTCGTGCCTGCAGCGTTTGGATCCCGTGCTCTTTCATGAGAGTAGTAGGCAAGTCTGATAAACGATATTTTGAGTAGATAAAGCGAACCGCTTTGCGCTGTATCATTTCAAGAGCCTGAATATTTTTTTGCTTGTGCGGGTCCCAAATTGAGCATGCATATTCGAGTTTCGGTCTAATAATCGATGTGTATGCAAGAAGTTTAACACTTGGAAGAGCTAATTTAAGTTTGTGTCTGAGAAGGCAGAGCTTGCGAAAAGAAGACGCACAGACGTTGGAAACGTGCTGATTCCAGCTTAGGTTGTTTGTAATGGTGACACCAAGGTACTTGTAACAACTGACTTCACAAAGCGGCCGTTCAGGAAGCTCATAGGAAAACGACAAGCTGTTTTTCTTTTTAGTAATTTTCATGAAGACCGATTTTTCGGCATTTAACTTCATATTCCACTTTGTGCACCATGCCTGTATGCTAAGAAGGTTAGAATTTAATTGAATTTGATCCTCGTGGCAAGTTATTTCGTTAAAAACAATACAATCATCTGCAAATAGTCTAATTTGTACTGGGCTGGTAATCACATCAACAATATCATTAATATATATAAGAAACAAAAGAGGGCCTAGTACACTACCTTGCGGAACGCCAGATGTGACGGGTAAAGATTTGGAACATTTATCATCAATACTAACATATTGCGTGCGGTCAGATAGATAAGAAGAAATCCAGTTTGTTATAAAGGCCGGAAGTCCAATTGCCTGTAGTTTGAGCATGAGTTGCAAATGTGGAACAAGGTCAAAGGCCTTTCGAAAATCCAGGAAAATTACGTCAACCTGGCCAGTCTTATCAAGGACGCCCGCAAAACTGTGAACAATAGAGGTTAATTGAGTGGCAGTAGAAAATCTTTTTCTAAAACCATGTTGGAAGCAGGATAATAAACCGTTATCGTTGAGAAACTTGGAAATGTAGTTAGCTATAATATGTTCTAAAATTTTACAGCAAGATGATGTTAATGAAATGGGACGATAATTACCAGGAACCATGACATCGCCTTTTTTAAACACGGGAACAATGCGTCCGACTTTCCAATCAAAGGGTAGGACACCAGAAGATAATGATGTGTTGAAAATTGCCACAAGAAAGGGTGATAATGCTTCAGCGTAACGGGAAAGAAAAATGTTCGGTATCCCGTCAGGACCAGGTGAAGACTTAGTTTTTAGGTTAAGCATCATAGAAATCACACCAGATATAGACACAATATCAGCATTGATTCTGCAATTGGAAACAATTTGGGGCATAGGCTCATGTACTGTCGAAAATACACCGTGGAAATAAGCGTTGAAATGCTCAGCAATGTCTGCCTTATCAACGAGGAGCGCATTATCGTGACGTAATTTTTCAATAGGTTTTCTTTTGTTCGACAACAAGTTCCAAAATTTCTGCGGAGCAGATCGAATGAAATTCGGCAACTCGTGCTCAAAATAACTTCGTTTAGCGCTTGCTACGGCTTGATTAAGAGCTAATTGAGTGGTTTGAATGATGTCACGAGAGGACACTCCTCGCTTCAGGCGTTTTAATTTTCTTTTCAAGTGTAAAATATCCCGTGAAATCCAAGGGGTTAGCTTACGCGTCTTTTTTACCTTGTCTGGAACAAAATGTTCGATACAGTGAAGACACTTGTTCTTGAAAGTATCCCACATTTGGGCAGTGTTAGAACCGTGGAAGTTGCTTAGGCGGAGTTCTAAATAATCTAACACAGATTCATCATGGGCACGGGAAAAATTTTTGACGCGAATACATTTAGCTCGAGGCACAGTACACACTTTTTCCACAGAGCATGAAAAAGACACCATATGGTGGTCAGAAAGACCATTTTCAATGCAGACATAATAATTTTGTACTTACAAAAACAAGGTAAAGTACAGAAGCACAGGTCATGCCGACACGTGTTGATTGCTTCACCACCTGGCGCAAATCATGGCACATCATTATATCTAGTAGATACGAGGTTTGCGGGGATTGTCCGACACTGGCAAAAGCGGAGTCCCAATTTACGTTAGGCATGTTGAAATCGCCCACAAGAAATATTCTGTCATGCTTGTATGACGCCATGTGTTCGTGTAAGTCATGCAGAAACCGAGGAGGCGAGACAGGTGCACGATACACAGCAAAGATAAGAAATGAACGCCCACAGAAGGATACCTTCAAAGGAAGGCTTTCGTGGTCGTCGATCTGATTAAGAAGCGTCGCATCAAGAGCACATTTTACGAGCACAGCAACACCGCCTCCGCTACGATTTCTATCTCGACGATACACCCGATAGGAGGAGGGGAAAACGACATCATCGCTGATATCGTCACACAACCAGGTTTCCGTGATAACAACAATGTGCGGACTATTGCCAAGAAGAATGGACTCCAGTTGCTCGGATTTATTAACGATGCTGCGTGCATTAATATTTAGGAGGCGCAGTTGTTTAGAATCGGGGCGTTCAGGTCATGTTTTATGTTTACTGGACTGGGAACTGGCAATTTTAATCCTCGAGTTTTTGCAGTCATCCCATACATACCTATCCCAATCAACCATAAGTTTGTCATGTACAAGATTAACCTTCTTGCCTTGTCTCTTTTCTTCTTTGGCGCTGTTCCAGAGCAGCTTACGTTTACGGAGTGTTTCCTTAGAATAGTCATTTTGAACAGAAATATCTGTACCCTTTAGCTTACGGGCATTCGATATAGTTTGCTGCTTTTCGTTGTAATCCTGAAAATATACGATAACTGGGCGACTGCCACCGGGCTTGCCTAATCTGTGAATTCTACCTACTGATTTG